CGTTAGAGGTGCTCATCGGTGCAGGATACAGCACACCGGCTGACATATGGAGCACAGCCTGCATGGTGAGAGGCTGCGAGTGTGTAAATGTACAGTGAAACGTGGTTCATCTTTTTGTTTTACCTGCATGAGAAATAGAAAGATGTGCAACCAACATATTTTCAGATGCATCTTACACACAAAAAAAAACAAATAATGTTGCGTAAAAGTGCTATATTTCTTCTAGTCATCTCAGAAAGTGAAACGGGCATTTTATAGAGATTTATCACTCACAGAGTAAAATATTTCAAACTTTTATTAAAAATTTTCACCATCCATTTTGTAAACTTTTTTTTTTTTTACGCAGGCAAAAATACTTTTACATTTCTAGCCCTGAAAAAGTTTTGTAATGAAACTATGAAAGAAATCTATCCAGAATTTGAAAATGCATCAGTAAATTTATCAGAGTTGACAGTGTGCAGCATCTCCCTCTGTGATGATGGTGATTCTCTTGTGTTTTCAGGCCTTTGAGCTCGCCACTGGGGATTATCTGTTTGAACCTCATTCTGGTGAAGATTATTCCAGGGATGAAGGTAATGTTTGAATTTTCTCTTCCTGTCCGTTCTTCTTTCTTTATTCACTTTTTAACCTTGCAGCATTACTGTTAAAGCTGCTTTATCTGGTTGCACTTTTAAAACCTGCTTCACTGCTGAAACATTTTGTCGGCAGAAATTTTGCTTCTGCAAAAACCCTCACAGCGTTATTTCTAGTTAATTAGCTCTGATTTGTTTGCTGTCATTATTTTAATGATAATAATAAAAAAACGCCTCGTATTTTGGATTTTCACTGCTAATTATAGTGCGGTTTGCACAATATTTTGAGGTGAACTTGACATAGACATTGACATTGTCAGCATTTAAACAAGAGTTCAAGTCATGAATTAATGATGTTATGAAGAAATATTCCCGAGTTTTATTTCCCAGCCTCTTAAACCTTTTTAATTTCCCTGGAAATGGGGCACATCTCTTCCATCTCCTTGTTGTCATCGATCATTCCTCATGTTTCCTTTACGGCTTTTGCACCGTCTGCATGTAAATGTCAGTGCGCTGCTTTGCTTGAACTTGCTGTGCCGAAGTGATTCTGCTTTGAAATGTCGGATATGCGCTGAGACTCGGGCTTCTGGCAGCTGTAAATAAGCCTCTTACACATTTAGCACATTAAAAGTTTTCCCACCTGGCTTTTTATCACCGCTTTTTGTTGCCTGAATGGTATTTTGTGTTGGAATATGTTGTTTTATTAACCTGTTTTTGTTCTTTTTCATCATTTGAGTAGAATATTTTAGTTTTTCCATGTTTGCTTGTGATCAACTTGTCCATCATCATCATCATCCATTGTTCCTAATTGATTGTTGCCATCATCCTCCTCCTTCCTTCCTCCTCCCCTCTCCTGCCCTTTCCCTCCCGTGACGTGCCTCATTTCCAGACCACCTCGCTCTTATGATTGAGTTACTTGGTAAAATCCCTCGCCACTATGCACTGAGTGGGAAATACTCGCAGGAATACTTCACCAAGAGAGGTATGCCACCCCTCTGTCTGTGGCTCACTCTGGGTAAGGCGGACAGGAGGACCAAAGGAGAAAGATCCTGACAGCACTCTTATATGGATTGGAGAAGGATACAAAAATATTTAAAAACATGAAAAAGTGTTTCCTTAAAGATAAACAACATTTAGACATAATTACCGATTAGCCTCCAACAGATGTCTGCCGTTTCTCTCCAATACGTAGTTTCATCCTCTTGCTAACATTTATTACTTCTAAGCAAAAATATAAAACCTCCAGTTAGAACCTGGAATTTAAGTAGACATTCTGCACTGTGGAGCTTGAATATTTTCGTAATGAATGAACAGGTTTCAACCCAGAAACCGCATGAAAGTGAAACATGAGAAACACTCAGAACAAGCATCACACTAGAGAGAGCAGCCTAAATTTTATAGTCAGTCTAATCCCAATTTGGGACAAAATGTTTTTTTTTTTTCACCATTTCAAGATGGAGTTAAATATTTTAAGTTATATTTGTCTTGTACATAAGCCTGCAGCAGTTTGAACTTGATGGCAGTCGGGTTAGTCTGCGGTCGTCTCGGCCTCTCAGGGTCGTTTTCATCCAAACTTCTAAACTGGAGCAGAAAAATGTCCCAGAACAAAAATCCTAAAAAATCGCTTCTGGTTGTGAGGTTACAAGTGTGCGGGACCTTGAGTTATTCTTCATAAATTGAACTAGACAGCAAGCAAAACACAATGATAACATACTTTATTTTCTTAAAGATGCTGCTGCTTTTCATTCAGCAAAGAAATGTTGGAGAGCCGTTCAAATGTCTGTTGGTTTATTCAGTAAACTCTGATGTGCCGTCGGTCGGACTCGAACTCCTTCAACCCTCCACCCACACACCCAGAGTGGGCCTGACTGAGACACACTCTGATCAATATGTTGTTTGTCTTCTTCCTTTCCTGCTGCCCACTGGGGTGTAGACCACATAGCGCTGATCATTGAGCTGCTGGGGAGTGTCCCACGCAAACTCATAATGACCGGCAAATATTCCAAGGATTTTTTCACCAAGAAAGGTAAAAAGAAAGTGTCAAGATTCACTTCCTTTCTCTTTCTGTATTATTAAATGTTCTTTGGCTCATGTATTAAAAAAAAAAGCTCATTATATTTGTGGGTAAGCAGAAAGTTGTAGCTGCTAATGTTGTATATTATAATATAATTCCCAGCGAGTATAGTCTCTTGGTGAAATGTTTTACCTTTTGATGTTTTTGCATCAAAAGGTAAAACAAAACTGGGTGATAATTGTGAAAAGTCCATGGATTTCCACCTTATTTGGGGAAAACATCTGAAAAGCAAGTTTTACATTTTATATCATTGCAGCTCTGGCTGCGTGTCGGGTCCGTTTCCTGCTGTAACATGAACCTCCACCCCACTCGAGTGTTTCGTTGCCTCGAAACACTCGTTTTCTTTCATGTTCAGCTGTAAATGTTCTGTCGAATCCAGTCACATTATTTGGTGGTGAATGGCGGGGCGAATGCACCCACCGTGATGGAGTCTTTAAGCTGGTAGAGGAAGAAATAATGTGGTAAAGGAGGAGTAAATTTCCGCCCCAGCCTAAAAATTCTTGATTTTAAAGTCAGTAAAATTCGGAATAATTTTTTTTCAAATGCCTGACCAATATCAGAGAATATCTTATTTTGAATTTATGCATCAATTGAGGAAAACTGCTTTATTTTTTTTTTTTTTGCAAATTTACAAGTTGAATTTTCTACTGTTTTTTTTCTGGAATGAGTCACAATATTTCAGGCTTTATTAATAAATATTTTTTTAAGTCATTCTTTTACAGTTACATACTACATTTTGTTGGGCTTATACATACAGTAAAGCACAAAATAAAAAAAATTGGTTTGTGGACATGCAAGTACATTCAAGACTTTTTCAAAGCTCTGTCCCTTTTTTTTTTTTTTTTTTTTTTTTTTGTAGCCTCCCATCTGATGCAACGTTGTTTGTGTCGTTTGTCTGCAGGTGAGTTGAAACACATCACCAAGCTGAAGCCGTGGGGTTTGCTGGAGGTCCTAGTGGAGAAATACGAGTGGCCCCGCGAGGAAGCAGAGTGTTTCTCCGACTTCCTACTTCCTATGCTGGAGCTGGTCCCAGAGAAAAGAGCCACGGCTGCAGAATGCTTGCACCACTCCTGGCTTGCCCTCTAGTGGACATGTTCAAGCGTTGCACCTCCTCTCCCTCCCACTTCCTTAAGAGACTGCAACAGATCACTTTCCACTTTGGGCATATCAAATGAATATTTATTTCTCTTTTTTTTTGTTTTTGTTTTGTTGTTTTGGATTTCTTATGTTCTTGTTCAGCTTTTGCTTCTGTGTACGATTGCTTTGTGTTTGTCTGTTCTCCTCTCGGTGTGATGTCAGGAATCCAGTGGATTTATTATTTGATGTCGGATCCAGCTGCTGGGCTCCGTTCAACCCACCCAACCAAGAGCGAAAGTCTCATTGCTCTGCTAGTGAAAGCATCCTTGTTTGTTACACTCCTGCACTAAAACTCAAACAAGTCAAGGATATGTAGCCGTTTTTTTTTTCTTTTATTTTTCATTGTTCCCTCAAAAGGACTTACTTTCGCTTACATTTTCATTAGTGCTGTTACTTTTTATAAATGATTTTTTTTCTCCGTTCTATCTCTCTGGGGGTATACAGTTTGTATTTGTAAAGTAGGTTGAGAAAGTTGCACACTGGGCTGACATTTACACTGACTGTGGTATAATTTTTAAGGCTCCCTGGAGTCTTTCTGACACTGTCATTAAGTAGGTCATATTTAGCCATAACGAAACCTAATGTCACCTGGTTTTTGGAAAGTATTTAATAAAAAATGAGATTGATTGTTCTCATGGGAGGCTGGTATTCTCATACACCTATTACAATTCAGGTTTAGTGGGGTAAAAGGTTTCAGTGAGAGGAAATGTTAAAGCCCAATTAAATGGAGGGGGGAAAAAAGAAAATAAACTGTATATATCTGTACCAAAGAGTTTGCCTTTATGTATATTACAGTTATGTACAGTTTTTAACAAATCTTATATCTTAGCTAAAATAATTTAGCTGGGTAGCTGTGTTTTAATAAAGTGTATGGAAGATGTGTTGGAGCTCGGTTGTATGTATGGCCATCTGTTGAGTAATAATTTACCTGTTTTTAAATATAGAGTCGGTGAGATCTGATGTTTTGTGATGGTGTAGCGAACCGATCATATCAAAGTAAGCTATGTTATCTGCTGAGACCTAAAGGTAAAAACGTACAATTTACATTAGCGTCACATTGAAAAACATAGACTTTGTGTGAGTTGTTTAAAGACGAACCTGTAAAACACACCATTCAATAAAAGAACAGATCTTCATGCAGTACAGAATAACTGTATGTGTGTTTATTTGGTGAAATATTAAATAACCAGAAGACTATCACTACAATTTAAGAACGGCTTGGTTTTGCTCCAGCTGGGATCTTCATTGTTCTTCTATTTTGAATATCCATGTTCACGAGTTTTCTGTAAAAGAAAAAAGTGCCATTTAAACTCATGTCATTTTGAAAAACACAGCTGGCTTCCAACCAGCTCTGAAAAAAGAGCAGTAATGTAAGAGTAATTTTAGTTATCTGTACACAATGAATTGGAAACATTTAACGTGAAATATTTCATGTGTTGAAACTGAGCAGCAACTTTGAGGGAGAAGAAGACAGGAATATGGAGCCATTTAACTCCCTAAAAGGTTTCTTTAAAACAGTCCAAGTTGTCCTTATGTAACAATTATTTTCAGGACTTCAACAAAACTATTTAATATTGAGGTTGTTTCATAAATTTATCTGCACCTTCTCCAGTAATCTCCCTGACCAGCTTAGATGGACAGTCAGCTGTTTGCAACATTAATTTGACATTCTTACATGCAAAGTAATGTAAACATAAACATGGTTACCAGTGATGCTTTTGTTTTGGTGGCTTCCTGTCTGTTCGCTTTATTTGTTTTAATTGCATTGTGCATTGTGAAACTAATTCAGAACAGATTTGCTGGTATCCCCTGTGAAATGGGTTTTGCTTTACACATTTTCTCAATCTGGAATTAAATTTTGCTTTTAAAAGAATGTCATGTTTGCACAAAATTTCAACATTTTTTCTTATAAGACTCGCCTTCTTTGTAGCTTTCCTAACAAGTAGAAACTGCTATGTAGCTCGACGTCTTGACTCATCTGACTTCCTATTAAATTTTTATATTGAAAGAGTAAAGAGCTTCATAAAATCTCTACTTAACGTTCCTGTCCTCTTCAGATTAGCAAAATTTAAACACATTATCTACTTTTAAATCTTCTCTAATATTTTTAATGAGTTTGTGAGAGAGAGAAAAAAAATCACCTGCCAAGGTAAAAACCATATTTGTTTTTTTTTGGATGACTGCCTTGATCAAATTATGTAAGTCGACTAACACCCTGTGAACTATTTCATCTAAATGAAATACATCTGTTTTTATTGTTTTGTGCGCTCACCTGCTCCCTCCACCTCGAAGCCGTCCGGCAACAGATTGTCCTGCCGATTACCGAGAGTGAAGGACAGCAGAGCCAGGAGAACGGCGTCCAGAATGCTGATGATGGCCAGGATGTAGGCCCAGCGCACGGTGCAGTTTCCCAGAGAGTACTTATCGGTCCTCTGGCCACACATCCTCTTTACCTCCTCTGCGTTCCAGCCGTCAGGGTAGATCATGCAGCCCATCACCATCAACACAGCTGGAGAGGGGATTCAGACATTACAAACACGTTTCAGTCACTCGCTGTTGTGCATAATTTCATCTGCGATATGGATTCTGTTTTATTCATTTCGAAGCATCACATCCCCATCCTCTTCTACATTTCTTTTCCCTCTTCCACTTTTGCAGCTACCACATTGTGAAAGGTTATTGTTTGATATTGCCAGCGTTTTGAACTCCGGTTGGCTCTTTGTGCAGCTTCAGATCAGTTTGCAGCTCATCGACATCTCATCCTGTTACGTGAAACCAGATCCGCCTTCAGAGGTGTCAGCGTCTGTTCTGACACCAGAAACTGAGCCGGCCTCCACAGTGAAGAACAACACACACGCTTCACACCTGCAACCAGAGAGGTGTGATGTTGGCAGACGATACAATGACTTTATCATGTCGCACAGACACACAGCTGAGTCTCAGGGTTTAGACAGGGGCAGGTGGGGGAAGTATCGGGGCGTGACCTTTAACTCTGGTGGACAATACTCTGTTTTTCAGGCTTTTACTGCTTTTTCATATTTTCTGTTTCAGTCGTGGCATATGACAGAGAACTACTGTGGAATGTGTGCTTCCAAAAGAGGAAAATTAACAAATGGAGGCTAAATTTAAGGTGTTTTAGGCACTTAAGGAAGGCATCTCAAACATAACAATGGAATCTGAAATTCTTATCTAAATGAAGCAGAGACAAAATGCAGCAAAGACCTGAAACAAGACCAGAGAGACATCCTTCACCTGACCTTTACTATAAAGTGCAGCAAAGGGTAAAAAGCTTAAGGCTCCAGGATTTAAATGATTAGACTTCAAATATAATTTCATATTTGACAAAAATGGTTCATCTTTCAACAGATTTAACTGATATGTTTCCATTTTCTTTAATGGAAACATATCATGAGTTGCTTGTGGCAAAATGCCAAAGGATAAATTTTTCTCTGGAATCGTTTAATTTTAAGCCTTTTTCTCTGTCCAGAATATTTCTGTGACCTTGTTTTACTTTGTGCAGATCCAGTTTAAGGTTTTTTTTTTTTCTTCCAAAAAAAAGGAGAAATCTGGTATCTCAAGCTACCAGGTTGTGTTACTTTTTTTCATCTCTGATGCAAAGATTACATAAGTTAAAGAAGCAAAAATAAGTAATAAGTAATAAATGAAGACAGACAATGGACCTGGACCTGGACCAGGAGTAGCAACCAAATCAACTAACCCAGAAACAAAAACACCTTAAAATTTGACTCTAAATTACTAGAAAGTCAATGAATCCAACAATTACAATGACTCAAGACTTTAGTTTATGTTATATGACACTACATAGCTTTGTCATCCTGACATAATCAACTATTCTTATTTTCTTGCTATATTCAAAATTAATTCTGCTTCCTGTACATTTCTATTTAAGGTCATCAATCTGCTGACCTGATGCCAGCTGCATCCACGCACAGATCTTGTAGACGTTCCCTGCGTTGCAGAAGAAGAACAGGCTGAATGCCACCATGGTGCCCACCACCAGCAGCATGGAGGTCCCCACGAAGAACATGGCCGTCCTGAAGGCCGGCGACGGGATGGAGTTGAAGTCGAAGACGCTGCCCTTGCAGATGAGCTCCGAGGTGAGCGCGTTCCCGATGCAGTAGTGGAAAAGGCCGAAGTATCCGGCCTGCGGCGTGTTGACGCTGTCCCCGATCCAGTAGGGCTGGATGAAGACCACCATGGTGATGATGGAGAAGCAGATGGTGAACACGGCCCACATGACGCCGATGGCCCGGGAGTTCCTCACATAGTTGGTGTGGTAGATTTTCGCGGCCTCCTGGGCTGGAAGCAAGTCCATAATGGAGGAGAAAAATAAAATGTCACTTCAGTCTTTAAGAAACTTTTGCAAATACAAAGGTATTCAAAATTCGTCTTCAGTGGGTGTGAATGAGTATCCTTATATAACTCTCTTCATGATTCCTTTACACAGAACCGAGTCTTCTGCTCCGGTTCCTCCTGATTACCAGTCTGGCGTTTCAGCACCCTGGACAGCTCCTCCACCCTGCGCACCTGAGGCAGCGCCGACGTCACACACTCACCTGTTGCCCTGGAGGCGTTCACATTACACCTGTAATATCTGCAAGGCACCTGTTTCAGAAATGTCACAGCAGTGAAAATAAATAGCAGACTACATTTTTAGGATCCCTGTCGAAACAAATTGACTTGTTTTTGTTTTGCTTCGTAAAAACAAGCGAACAGAAAGGAGAATTGATTTTTCTCTATCCTTCAGGTGAAATGTTTGTAAGAAGAGATGCAGAAAAATGTGGAAAAGAAAATGAATCAGGCGTCTTTAAATGTCAGCAAGCTAAATATTTTATAAATAAGTGATAAGTTAGTGTAATAAAATTTACCCTTTTGTGTTACTTTGTTGAATCCATCCATCTGTCCATCCGTCCAATAATTAATTAATGAATTAATCACCAGGTGAGTTGGACTGAAGATTAGAAACGTAGGTGTTTGTGTAGAAAACAAAAAACTAAACCTCCATCCATGTAAATCTTCATTTCTTATGTAAATGACTTTTAAAAAATAATTATTATTCCAAGTTATTGTTGCCACAATTATCAATAAACGCTTTGTCTTGATTGGTCACATATTTTTAAAGGGATTTCCCATGAAACTGGAAACACTGTGTATCGATTCTAGGCTTTTGTTTTTGTTGATGATGTGGCGAGTTAAACTGAATCATGAAGTTTTAAGTAACAGAGTTAACGCATAAAATGTTCCTTTTGCAATAAGCAGGAGGTTGGTGTCTCCCAGAGCCGAAGCAGAAATTATTTTAACAATTTATTTTAACGAACCTAACAGCCCAGGTTCGGGCTGATTATGTCTTTCCCATTACGGCGCGTCTTCAGGCTTATTTTTCCATTTTCATTTCTCCTCTGGAACCTCGTAAGTCACCCTTCCCTGTTCCAGCAGTTTTCTTTATTACTACTGGTGCCACATCTAGTTAGAGATAATGACTTTGGTTGGAAGCTGACAAGAGAAGCACCATCTGTGCTTCTCTTCCTCTGGTTGGTGATGGTTTCAAGGAGGTTTACCTTGTAAGGAATGACAAAATCAGCAGATCAGAAGCTGCAGGTGGAGGATGCTAAAGAGGGAAACACCAGCTCTGCTTAAGAAACAACAGCAAAAAAAAAGATAAAGAGGAGACACTTTGTACATAAGAGACCAAATGAATATTTATTTAATGAATCAAATCAAGAAAAACACCTTATTCGATGAACATTGATGATCACTTTTCTCTTGTGCAGACCATGGCAACTACATCTTTTTCCCCTAAGTGAAAACAAAACACTTTACATTGTGGTTTGTTGAGTCAGATGTTTTCAATTGAGTTTGACAGCAACCCTTTCTTTTTCAAGCCTAATTTAAATAGGCAGCTGCAGACTGTGGGACAGGGTTCATTTTCTCATTATATTACGCGCGGCAAATGTTTAATTACAGAGACATCACTGAATAAATGCAGCATTCCTCCTCCATTTGGGAGTCTGACTCATTGTTTGCATTGGCTTTGTGGTCCTTTTGCTGTGTGTCACTCCAAAGGATTTAAGCTCATTTTGTGCTCTGAAGAACAGGAGGAAGCTTTGTTTGCTCTGACAAAATAATCTTTTTCTACTGCAAATATCTGGCAGCAACACTGGAGATAAAATAAACTGTATACACGACGCTGGAGACGGTCCAATCAGAAGATGCAGACAGGCCTAATGTTTTATTGTGAAACCCTCCATCTGTCTGGGTTTGGTTTCAGCTGAATCCAGTTCAATGGTTTGTTAAATGAGAACTAAAACCAGGAGCCCGGACTAAAGGAGGAACCAAACCTGAAGCTTTGGTAAAAACTTATATTACTCAAACAATTAAATAATTCTAAATCAACTTTTTCTGTGCTAACATCTGGTTTAAGTATCTGCAAGATGAGTGGGGGATCCATCTTGACTTAATGTCATATAATACTGCAAGGAAAGTCATAAAAGTAAGTTAAAATGAAAAATCTTCAGTTCTACTTTCAGAAAAAAAAATCTCAAATATTAAAAGTGAGGAATTGCATTTTAAAAAATGGCTAAATGACAGACTCTGCATCTGTGATGACAAAATAAATCTTTTAAAGGCTGTTTCCACAGTTTTACCGTTGAGTGGGGGCTGTGTGTGCTGCACCTTTGACCTGCGAATGTCTGGCCATCACCTCTGCAACATGTGGCCGAACTGCGGCGCTCTTTAACGGATCCTTGAGCAATTTTCATAGTGCTCTGAAACATGCTGCGGATTGTCACTGCAGCAGGAATTAATGTGAATGGATGAACTTAGTCACAAGCTATTAAGCCTCCCATGGTCCTTTGTAAATGGGCAAGCTCCACTTCCTTGCTTCACCAGATTTCTCTCCATAATCCATTATAAGGTGTGGGAGCCACTATAAAATGGCCTGTGGCACTTCTAATAACCTTGTCAGCTTTATTACATTCATGGCCGACTTTTATCAAATAAGCGACATGCTTATTCCTTCATGTGATTACAGTGGGACCCAGGTTTAATGTTTCCTAGGAATCTGACGCTTTATCACCATTCTTGTTCTTCTCCAGCTGTGCAGTGTTATGTGTCTCATCTTCTGTTGCGTCCCTGTAATGAAATAATCTTTTTATGGGTTAAATTCACCCAGTGCTCGGCCCCGATCCTGCAGCTTTATCCGCTGCTGTCAAGTGAGGAGTGAAGATTATTTCATCTGAATATCAGCAGTCTTTAAACTCTGGCTGTAATTTCTTTGGAGTGTGGCCCTCAGGAAAGGGTCCATTGATGAGGAGAATAATAAGATCTAGTTAGTACTCCACTTGGTATTCAGTTTAATAAACCCCTCGAATCAGCATGCAGGAGCCGTGATACAGCAGGGCAAGCTGTCTCCGAGAGTATTTTTCAACCTCTCTTAATTTTTTGTCATTCTTAATCTCTCTCGGTTCATGCATATTGTAATGATCCCCCTAAGCACTCCTGGTGTTGCAGCAGAATTCTCAGCCCGGCTGCATTGTGGGTTCGTCTCCCTGCAGGAAGGCTGTGTAACGATAACGAGGCTTTCTCACTCCTGGGTCGGTGTTTTGTTCAGAGACGTGAGCATCCACATTTTTTCAATTCTCTCACAGAAACATGTTTTCTTTTTGTCCGTGTATTCACCGGCCTGTGCATCTTCCCCTCCCTGACTGACGCCTGACCCTGTGGTAATGTTGTCACCCCCTCATTAGACCGCGGCTGCCTCATGGATCCTCGCCCAGCCGGCCCTCAGGCCAATTTTTCCACTCAGTCTTTGTTAGAAGCTCTGGAGTTTGCCAACGGAAAGCAAGCAGTGGTCCAAACCTGAGCAAGATGCGTGTTGTTGTTTCAGGCAAATGAAAAGGAGAGGGAGGCGCCGCTCTCACCAGCAACAATATGGGATGTGTGAGAGTAATGAGACACTCGGCTTTGTTGCAACAAAACAAGAAATGAAAACAGAGAGGGCGCCTCAGAAGGGATTTTCCTCTGATGAAATTGCCTTTAATGATCCAAGAACATCCAAGAGGGGGCAGTATGACATTTAACTGAGCTAAGTCAGCTCGTTGCAATTTTTGAAGAGGATTGTTTTCAACGCATCCTTCAACCAGACAACAATTAGATCGTCTTCATAGAAATGCACTTACAAAAAATACTTTCACTCTAAATTACCCAACAAGGACAAAAGATCTATTTTTTGAAAATATTCCTGCGATGTTTTCATAGCTGTGCATTCCTTTTGATGCTTACAGGGAGCCCCACTGTGCCTTAAGTCCTCAGTGGTGTGAAGTTCTTTGAAGCTCTCCAGCTCCACAGTTTATATTTATACAGTAGCTTGCAAAAGTATTACAGTCTTCCCAAGAAGCCTTTTATTTTGGCTCCATCGACCGTCCTATTGACTCAGATGTGACCACCACTATGGGGATGAGGATATGTGTATCCTTATTTAATTATCTGTTTTAATTTTATGGTGCATAGTGTTTTTATGTAGGTCAAAAAATGTAGTTTTGTTTTGGTGCCCGCTGACCAGTACACCTCCCTCCATATCTTTAGGGAGTCCATAAACTGTAAAGCAGACGACTGATGACTTTCTTCTTACCATTCTTTCTTAAAGATAATTTAGCATAACTAATAACTTTATTGTCAACATATTCTGCCACTCTTTCTCTGAGTTGCATTGGTTTCTTGGTTGCTTTACAGAGGAATTGTCGCCTCATCCTGTCTGTCGTTCCAGATCCTTTGAATCTGTGGTGCTGCTGAGTGAACATTGACCGCCAGACGTTCACAGTTCTGTTGTATAACTTAACTCAAACTTCACCACAACTTTCTCCCTGCTGTGTTCCTATTTGTGTTTTCATATGATGCTGTTTGTTCATTAATGTTCTCTGTCAATCCTCTGGGAACTTCGCTGAACATCTGGATTTCTAACGAGATTAAGCAACACTCAAAGTTCTTACCAAATGTGTGACTTTGTCTATGAGTATCAGCATAAACAAACCTGAGAGCAAATGCTACGACGCTTTCTGGATTTCATTCATAAAAACTTTGAAAGCAATGTATCCTTTTCCTTCCCTTTACCTATTAAACACACACATTCCCTGTAGAACCAGTGGCGTCTATGGTATAAAATAGACAAAAGCTAAATAAAATAGTGATAAAAAAATTAAGGGTTGCAGATATTTCTCCAAGGCACTGTAACACACACGCGCTCCTCAGTCATCTTTATGTCCAAACCCCACCTTCAAAACTGATCCCCTTACTGCCTCCTTCACTGCCGGCCAGCCTCATTAAGCCCCAGATTTATTCCCTGAACCTCACGCAGAAGCCTGTCTTTTTGTTTTCAGAATTGGAGCACTGTGTGTGAA